ATCTATAATCGATCTAAGAGATCCCACTAATCCATTGTAAAATGTTTGAATTATCGACCAATCTGGTAACGAATGATGTGGGCACTTCTTAAGAAGATCTTTAAATCTCTCACAAACTTCATATATCAAATCTCCATCAATCTGACAAAATGATGTTATGTCATTTCTAAGTTTAACAGTTTTATATGGAGGGAAATATTTGGATAGAAATTTATGTGAAAGTTCTCCCCAAGTTTTAATAGATCCAGGTGCTAGCAAATTTAACCACATCTTATCTTTATCCCTAAATGAAAAAGGAAAAATTCTAAGTCTAACAACATCGTTCAAAACTTTGTCATATTTAAAGGTAGCACAAAGTTCTAAAAAACTAGCGAGGTGTAAATTAGGATCTTCATTTTATGTACCTCTGAATTGATTATTTTGTATCATTTGGATAATAGCAAGTTTAAGCTCAAATGAATTAGCAGCTACATCAGGATTTTGGATAGATAAGTGAATTTCATCTACAGTAGGAATTTCATAATCTCGTAGGGGTATAGGTTGGTGTTCATTCTCTATTCCTTGATTTCTCATGTTGTTCTCCATTGTATTGGAATTTCTATGTTCTCTTCTCAATCTTCTAATCTTTCTAACAGTATGTTCCAATTCCAAATCGTAGGGTATAAGATTTTCAGGTCCAATTTTACGCATACAATTTGAAATCAGTACACAGTAAAATAATTAATTAAATATAAAAATAAGTTGCAATTCAAGTAAAAATTTTCTAATAATCCTAATTTGTCTGTTACTCTAACTTTAAATTTAACTGTTACCTTCCCCGACAACGGCGCTAAAAAATGATTCCGATTTTTTTAATGTAAGGATTTATGAAGTTGACACCACTACAGCGCCAAAAACTTGATCCTTGTATGAAAAGTAAGTTGTGTAAAATATATATAATTATAGGTAATTAATAATGAGATTCTACGCAAGTATACGTATCGTTATCAAGTAATAATAAACTTTCTATTTAAGCCTTAAATATCGATCCCACGGGGAAGGTTCAAATTAGCAATGATAAATTTTAACAGAAAATTTACTAGAAAATCAAACGAAAACACTGTCACTAATTTCGAATGTTGGGATATTAACCAAACTAAATTACTTAACTATTAGTAAAACGAAAATGCAAATTTTGAATAATAACTACTAATATGCTAACTATGTTTATGTAATGAAGATTTCTTATGTGAAAAAGCATCATTCCCACTACAATGAAATTTTGGTGAAATTAGATGAGATAAATGTTTATAATATGTATTGTGCCAAATAAGAGCAATTTTAATTTTCTGCCCTGATACAGTGCATAGAAAATCATTGATTAATCTTAGGTTTAGTCCCTAAATCCATGGCTAGGCTCGAGGGTACTAACTCCCACTCCAGAGCTCCCACTTTCCTTCACCTGAAGGTCTCACTTTAGTTTTTAAACACTAAGACCAAATTGCGCATTTTATTCTATCACACTAAAGATTCTCCAATTTTACACCCAACAAAGAATATTTTCATATTTATTTGCACTTAATTTCATGAACATGTTTCTCCTTTATGAAATCAAATGTGATCCTCTCTCTATTGTAGAACTCATACTCCATTTCCAGATCATATGTTTCACACCATATTTTAACAACAATTGGCCAAATTGAAAAGTAAATTAAGTTCGGAATTGAAAAATAATCACAAATTATTTTATTTTTTAATTATGGCACATTCATATTATCTCTTCATTTCTCTAGATCTCAGAGTTAGGGGAAAGATAGAGGAAACTACTCAGACTTCATGAGAAAGATATGACAAAACACAAATTTCATATATAAAAGAAAGTTCATATAATACTAAATAAACAAACAAACTTATTTGGAACTTTTTCTCAAAGCAAATCCTTTGTAGCCTTTCCTTAGAAATGCAAGAAGAAGAACTCTCTCACTTTTCTCCTTCTCCAGCACTCTTACAGAAAGTTTCACACTAAATCTCACCACAAAAATTCTAAACTAAGCAAAATTACTAATTGACTCCAATATGTGGTGGAATGAAGATGGATTATGGAAATGTAGCGTGGTGGAATGTTGTAGAGAGAAAAATGAACGTAGAGGAGCAAAAAACGTAGAGGAGGGAAAAACGTAGAGGAGCGAAAATCGTAGAGGAGCCCCTTTTCTGATGGAGTTCGAGCCCAAATAAAGCCCAAGGTTGGTTCTCCAAGAGGTGCCTCCAAAAACTCTTTAAAAATTGTCCAAATACATCGAACCTTCTAGAAACAAGGTATGAACCGCCTTTGGCGCCGTCTGCGCTAGTCTGGCGTCGTCAGCGCTGAGTAAAATTCCTTTAGCTTTCGGTTGTTCTGCGCCGTTGACGTTCTGCGCCGTTGGGGCTGACCTTGGCGCTGCCGGCACTGAGTATTTCCTCAAAAATGTCATTTTGACTCCAAATTTTATCCTTTTTGCTTTAAGCCCTAAAAATCAACAATCTGCAAAAAAAACATCAAAATATCTTCCATTAAAGTGCAATATCACCAAAAATAGGTATAAAATATGGGTTTAAAAATGCATATATTTTCAGTGTATCAATATGCATATGTGACACACACAAACTTGATATTATGTGGGTTAAAGACAACAAAAAACCATTTTTTTAAAAGGTCTGTGTATTTCTTGTTGTGACAGATTCATTAGTTTATATGTTGAGTTCTCTGAGACCTCACAGCTGCATAAAACTATATTTAATTACTTCTATTATCAATTTTTACTTATGTCTAATGTGATATTTTTTTAAGCATTCAAAAAAGATGAACTCGAAAATTTCAGGTACCTCATGAGAATTGGACTGCTATGGTGAACTTCAAAGTTCTATACTAGCTTCACGTTAGTCACATAACTAACAGAGACGTTTTTACAGGTGTCTGCGGATAATCACAGAAAACTGTGGTTATTTTTGATGAGCAGATATGCAGGAAGATTCCACCGCAGAGAGTGATTGAGTATGGAGAGTATTCCTAGAGGTCGACTTAGCTCGTGACATACATCGTCTACATTTTAAAAATAATATAATCATATTATTAATTATTATTTTAATAATCTTTTTCTTAATTTTAGTAATCATGTTAATCACTGTTAAGTGAAGTGTCAATCTTTATTTTGTAATGTTCTATACTGAATTTTTACTTTTAAAGTATAAATGTATCAGTGTGAACAATTCTATTACAAACAACACTACTATATAAGGGCAAAATGATTATTTGTCCAGAAAACAGCTGCTACGCAATTTCTTCTGACAGCTGCTGCACAACAGCTTATTATTAAGTTGCAGCTGCCCCAAACAGACCTTTAGATACACTCAGAGTTGGTCCCACCTAAAATTGGCCAGAGAAGCCTTATCCTAATATAATTTTGTATTGTAGAATATAGATGATTTAAAGCTAAATGACATCAATGAAGAAAATGCCTTGATTAGACGACAATTAAGAATTCAGTTTACTATAACTGCCTAATTTTTAATCATAATTACTAATAAATGAAATTTGGTCCGACTAAATTATATGTTGAAGTACTCACAATTTTTGAAATTACGCTACAGAAAGCAAGCTCAGAATTCATTTAGATTCATGCTGAGAATGTCAGTACATGTTGAATTATTACAACCATTCCTATGAAAAATTAAACCAAAATAAATAACACAAAGGACCAAACTAACCCGGAAATGCTAATCCATCAAAATTGCTGCAACTTAGACCTCTGTGAAGCGTTTATTACAAGCTCCAAATATTCAGGTAGGAACAATTATGTTCCTTTTCATTGTGTGCACTCAGATGATGCTTTGTTATCTGACCTTACAGGTTTTGAAGCCCAGATCTTGCATATAGGTATTGTATCATCCTTGCTTAAGAGCTTCAGTGATGAATGTGCTTTAATTTCATGCATAAAAAATTTGTCTCCAATGTCCAAATTTGAAAGGTCCACCTCAACCTTTGGAGGAATATGCTCACTTTGACAAAGATATTTCAGACTGGTTCTAATCTTGTGCAAATGGCCCCCTGTTGCTCAGGAAATGGCAAGAGCAATTAAATGCATCAAATTATTGCAGAAGGGAAGAATAAAAACTTAAATTGGATAAAGTACTCTTCAATTAAATGCAACTAGGTTTCTCAACCTGTAAAGTTTTACAATTCTATCATCTCTACTTGTAGTTTATCCTATAGCAGTTCCATAACCAACTTCTGTAAGTGCCCCAAACAGGATCTGAGCACAAAAATATAAATTTCTGTTAATTTTGGGGGATCCAAGTACAGTAATGGCGTTGGCAACCGCAAACCAATGATTTAAGGTTTGTGTAAAGCATGAAAATTGCATTCCAGAGTTTAAGGGGTTTGTTTTCATTTTGTAAAATAGCTTATAGCATATTGGGATTTAATAAATATTGCTCAAAGCTTATAATAAATTTGCTCTATAGTTGAAATATGACTCCACTTGAATCTATCCTCAATTCAATTTACAATCCCTTGTCCTCATCTTTTGTGAAGCTCCTGGCAATGTTGGATTAAGAAGTGAGATTAATTTGACAACCTTATCCCCTGATTCCCTACAATTGCAGATAAACTATTTTCAGTGAATAGAACATATTTTCAATATTTGCTGAGAAACTATCTTCAATATCTCCAACATGCTTCCCATACTTGCCCTCAGCCTATCGCACTTTTTAATAATATTTTAGTGAACTTCATCTTCCATAATATTCACAGGTGTACTTTTACTGGGAATTTTCAACATTTTGAGAATTTGAGATTTTATAACAGATATTATGGTACTTTTAGTATTCATAAAAGAGGATCTGGTGATCTGAATTGCAGCAGATTTTCACAGTTTTAAGCAAATTTTATGCTTGAGGAGATACAATGGATAGATTAGAACAGTTATAAATCATAGTCTTTTAATAATTCTTTTTTGGATTAACATTGTTTGAAATCAGGAAATAAATACTGTTAAGAGTTTAGAAATTAGAAAATGTGTGGACAACTTTAAAAGTTGATCAAGTAATTTAAGCTCCAAGCCTCCAAACTGCCCACTTTTTCTTTTTTTTTTTTAAAAAGAAAAAATAAAAAAACTGAGTCAATAAAGGGAAAATGCCTACCCATGGAATGTAAACTTTTCACTAGCATATCACCAAGTGGCCATGAAGTCCTCCTGTCCTATTACAATATTCATTTTTTAACTTTGTAACTATTGATCCTAGTCGAGATTTTGCTCTAATACTATTATTTATTTATTTTATTTTATGGGTACCAGTTAGTCCGGTTACTAAGAGACTTACAAATTGCCTACATAATAATAAACACATACCTTACATACTTTCCGGTGGGCTTAAAAAAAATTAATTAATTAAAATAATTGCTAAGAATTGATTGGGCTATCCAGTTAGCAAGTTTTAAACTCATACTATTAAAAAATTTAGATATATATCATCCCAATTCCATCTGTTATCCAAGCCACAAAGCTAATTCATTTGAGACTTTAATTATTAGCAAGTTCTCAAAGTATCTCCCTTTATGTACTTAACTCTACCGAAGCTTTTACGAGGCCTTTAAATGGGAATGCATAGACTTGAAAAGTGAAAGAGTCGAATTAAAATAACTTTTGTTGCTTGCAAATATGCTATTTCTTTTATTTAACTCAAATCTCTTATGTTTTTAGTGAATTCAATTAATTCTTATCCGCACCAGCATCATAGCACACATATTTGACTGAAAATGCACTTACTATATGAAGAATTGGGGTCATTTTTTTATTTTGTAAAGTTGTTTAAAAATCAAATTTAATTCACACCTCCACGATCCCCCACCGCCAACATTTAGGTGTACATTTGCTACAATTCCTAAAAAAACTTACACAAATTTTTTGGGTCGAACAAATTCGAAAAAAATGTCAAACAATATTTTCTTAGAGAGGTTTTATTGATCCACATAATCAAGTTCTGATATTGCTTGAATTTAAATGTAGGTTATTTTGCAGAGGTTACCATTTCTCTAATATAAATTCTGATGGAAAACATTATTGTGCCTTTTTATTTAGTAAGAATGTTAAATAGAGAATTTACATCTACCTTTAGCGAGTAAAATCTCATTAAAAAAAAGATGAGATAAGACTAAGAGTAACTTATTGTTCTGATATTGCTTGAATTTAACTGTAGGTTATTTTGCAGAGGCTACCACTTCTCTAATATAAATTCTGATGGAAAACATTATTGTGCCTTTTTATTTAGTAAGAATGTTAAATAGAGAATTTACATCTACCTTTAGCGAGTAAAATCTCATTAAAAAAAAAGATGAGATAAGACTAAGAGTAACTTATTGGAAGTGTATCTAGATCAAAAAAGAAGGCATAGATAAAATCCTCAACTTGCGTTAACAAGTAAAGCGTTTAGTGCCATTATTAAAAACTATGTCAACCAACCATTCACAGATTTTTGTATAAAACATTAAGGGCCCATTTGGGACAGCTTTTTGGTGTAATGCATTTCGAAAACTTCAGTCGAAGCATTTGGTTAACACGGTTTATGATAAATGCGGGCCAAGGTCTCCGTTTCTTCACGAACTTATTACACCGCTTCCCTCTCGATCGATACTCCATGGCTGCCTCTCTTGCCTTTCTTCTACCCTAGCTACCTCTCTCGATCATTCTATCTCTCTCATTTATCTCTCGCGTCTCTCTTCGGTGATAACAAGTTGCCTTTCTCCTCACCCTCTTCCCCCTGATCTCTGTTACTGTGCTTTGTATGTAATTCTTGTGCTCATTTTCGATGGAATGACTTTCTTTTTGTAATTTATAGCTTTCTCATTTGGGGTTTATTGTGAGAATTTTGTGGATTTTGCGATTTGTGGCCTTCTCATTCACCTCCTCTGATTTTAAGATTTTTGATTTGCGATGAAAATGAAAAATATGGAATGGTATTTTTATCTCAACTGATTTTTTAGGGAGGATTTGAAAAATGTATGAAATATGGTGATTTCTAGATAATAATGTTTCAGGTGCTCTGTATGTAACTGAATCAAAAGAAAAATATGGAATGGCCATATCATTACCTCCACTGATTTTTGAGTGGGAATTTGAAAAATGGATGAAAGAGGATGCTTGATTTGTAGATAGCAATGTTTTGGGTGCCCTGTATGGAACTAGATTAAATGAAAAATATGGGATGACCTTTTATCATTATCTCCACTAATTTTTGAATGGGAATTTAAAAAATGGATGAAAAAGGGTGCTTGATTCGTAGATAGCAAAGTTGTGTTTGATTTGTAGATAGCAAAGTTTCGGGTGCCCTGTATGTAACCAAATCAAATGAAAAATATGAATGGCCTTTTATCATTACCTCCATTGATTTTTGAGTGGGAAATTGAAGAATGGATGAAAGAGGGTGCATAATTTGTAGATTGCACTGTTTCAGGTGCTTAGTATGCAATTGCCTCAATTCAAAAATATGGAATGTTTATCTTTGATGTTTGAGTGAGAATTTGAAAAACGGATGAAAGAGAGTGCTCGATTTGTAGATAGCAATGTTTCGGGTGCCCTGTATATAATTGCCTCAAATGAAAAATATGGGATGTGGTTTTATCACTACCTTTGATGTTTGAGTGAGAATTTGAAAAATGGATGAAAGAAGACGCTTGATTTATAAATGACAATGTTTTGGGTAAATTACATACAAAACACAAGAAATTGATGCATTTATGCTTACCATGATTAAACCACTGTGAGTTTGATAAAAAAAAATATATGGGATGGGGTTCTATCATGTGGTGGTGGTTGTGGTGTGGTGTGGTGTTAGTGGTGTGGTGTGGTGTGGTGTGGTGATAGTGGTGGTGTTGTTGGTGGTTGTGTAGTGTGGTAGTAGTGTTGGTGTGATGCTGATGTTGGAGGTGGTGTTGGTAATGTGTGGTGTTGGTGGTTGTGTGGTGTGGTAGTGATGTCGGGAGTGGTGTTGGCGTTCGTAATATTGTTGGTGTTGGGGTAGTGGTGTGGTGTTGATGTTGGTGGTGGTTTTGGTAATGCAATAGTGGTGGTAATGTTGTGGTGGTTGTGTATTGTGGTGTTGGTGTTGTGGTAGTGGTGCGGGGTTGATATTGTTGGTTGTGTTGGAAATATAGTGGTGGTGATGATATGTTGA